CCCCAAAACCCCAAAACCCCAAAACCCCATGAGATTATTATAAGTAAAATTATTAAATTCATATCATGTATAAGTTCTAATGTTAATTAAATCTTTAAAACAATAAATAAAGTAAATTATAAGATATGGAGTATTTGGATGAAATATATGATCCACTCATTAGTTTACTACAGTCATAGAAAGATATTACAAAGTTATTTATATCTAAGGATGCATTTAAACACTCATTAGAACTATTGAGATTATTGATTACCAATCACTACACTTAGGTAATATAATTAATGACTGAAGTTATTGGCACTCATTCTCTTCTTCATGCAATATAAATAAGTAGCAATTCTAATGAGGATTTAATTTCTAAATTGGCTGATTGATAAAAATAATAATAATAATACTTTGAAAATTTAAACTTCAATAATCATCAATTTGATTGTTAAATACTTAAATCGTACAGAGAATAAGGAAAGGATTATGAATTGTTTGATAGAATTGAGATATTAAATGATTAGATTTTTACAGCTTAGTTTAGGTATGATGGTTAATGATGTAGGATTATTGATTAAGATTTTTAATTAATCAAAACTTTAGACTTAAGAGTAAGAACACTTCACAAATAAAATATTTAAATGATTACAGCTAATGATAATGAGATTAGTGAGATAAGATTATTAGAAAACAATGAATATAAAATATCAAAGAACATTTAACAAACCAATAATGGTGTTTATAAAATAATATAACTGAATGATGACATATTCATCTGTGCATTATATGGTGGTCAGATATCTCTATTGAGTATTTCAAATTAGCAATACTCTCAAGTATTCTAAATTAATTCATTTAAATGTATTTCAGAAATATGCAAAATCAAAAATGAATAGAATAAGACTACTTTTGCTTTTGGTGATGGTCTTGGTAATGGTATTGCCATATGTTAATTAATTAAGATAAGTGACTATGATTACTAATTAATTTAAGATCAACAAAGATTGGTTGAAAATGGGAAAATATTGTCAATAATGCTTGTTAATTCTAAAATTATAAAAGAAAAAGGATGGTTCAAGTAAGATTCTAAAATATTTAATACTATTGCTTATACTAATTGGGATGATCATAGTTTGAAGATATTTGAAATTGAAAATAGAAAATAACTTCACACTATTAAATCATCTTTTTATCCTTATATATTTAGTGTGTAATACTATGACTATGATTTGAACCCATTCGCTTTTGTAAAAGATTATGAGAAGATATCATTGATTAATTTTAGAAACTACCAGATAATCAGAGTCATTGATTCTAGGTATATTTATAATAATAAGAATGGTAGATTAATAAACATGAGAATTTATAAAGAAGGAGAATCACAATAGATATACAGACTCTTCGATGTACAAAGAAGTGACAGATCTGCTGAAATAAGAGAAATAAGGCTAAGAATACCTTGAGTTCAAATTATGATTTTTAATAATTCTAATTTAATTTATTTTTTAGTAAAAATGATAATTTTTATTTTCATATTGCGGGGTTTTGGGGTTTTGGGG